AGCTTGAGTCCCAGTGCATCTGCATGATAGTCTAAAAGAATGTTATTTATCATCTGTTATGAAATCTTAATAAACAAATGCTTAGACTTGGACCACTACTTAGCTGAACTATGAGTGACAGGCGTCAAACTGTTCATCACTCTTTTGCAAAATTAAGGTAAACCATTCTATTTCTCAGTGGCTCATTTATCAGTAAAAAATTAAAAAAAATGTGTTTGATACTACAAACTATTGAGAACGTAACTCCCAACTTACAAATACAAATATTGTCATTTTCAAGCACTTGTTTACAGGCTTTTTACAACAAGTATCACTATCTTGGCCAACATTCAAGACAGTAGTGTCATAATTATGGAGGACAAAATATTACTTGACCAATCATGGCTCATCTCTTCTCTGAAGCTGGGCCATGATTGGTCTTTACCTCAGCCCTGAGCAACTGTGATGTCATTTTCAGTCAAAATGGCCGCCCCCCGCGATGGACAATAACGGCTGGATTTTCCTGCTTAAATCATATTCCACAAACGCAATATTAATCAGAATGCCATGCTTAGGCTGATTGGGCTGCATAGAGCTTATTATTATAAAGAAAATTTTGGGGTTGACTTCACCTTTAAATATGATTCTATTGTAATGTATTGGTCATAAAAGTTAAATCAAAAATTGAGAAATAAAAGCTTTAATAAAACAACACAACATATATTATTTTAGGGGTTTTTTTGTGGAGGGGCGCGGGGGTCTCACCTTTTTTCCAGAGCTATATATGCAGTCACACATGTCGGGGAAGTCCTGAAACAAAGGTGGGCACCCAGCCCATTTAAGAATTATAATTAGACATGTATTAAAACAAAACAACAAAAACTCATCATATTTTTTTCATAAATGTTAGTATGGCCGTCAGCGGAAGAACTTTTTCCCAAGGTTTCCTACTGCTCTTCCCGAGATTGAATGTAAAATGGAATGTTCCATTTCATGTTGTGATAGGGGACAACTTTTGCCTCATCAGAGGTCATATTCGGTTGGATTTAGAACCACGTCTCAAATTCAATCATTTCGTTTTTTGCATGACAATTTTTTTTTCAGCTTTTCCCAAACTTTTCCAACTCAAGCTCCCCCCCCAACTGAACAAATGTGGTTCCTCCCGACAAAAACACTGCTTGAACAAACACTGTACATAACCCATAAGAGCCCAGACCCATTTTTCCAAAAGGTTTTGATGGGTTAAAATCAGACAAAAAGTTTTGAAAAAAGATACTGGGGAGTTCAAACTGTTTGTTACACTGGTGTCACCGTGGGCTCTTATGGGATAAACTGATTTACTATAACAGATATGAATAGAAAAAAGAAGGCCAGAATTCACAGCTAAAAGGAATTGCCTCCGAAGCTCCAAATTATCTTTGACAACTAAATAAAACCTATTTTTTCCTCTCTGCTGTCTTTATATAATCACTGTTACAATCATGGCTTTTTCTTTCCAGAGGACTTTTTCTGTGCTGCTGTGCATTGTTCTGATACATTAGATGGTGTTCTATATAAAAATATGTATACATTTATCTATTTGAAATTTCTCTTTCTATTTGTTTGTTCCTCTTCTTGTGACAGTACTGTAGCTCTGTATGTCTCACTATGCACCCCAGAAAAAAAAAAAAATCAGCTTCAGTCTTGTAACTATAACTGCCTGTTTGACTGTGTGTGGCGAGACACACACACACACACACACACACACACACACACACACACACACACACACACGGCTAAATTTTTGCTGTATTTCGTTTGTATTTTATTATATTTAGTCATCAGAGAGTGGCGTTAACAAGCAGTTTTCTGGTTAAGGGGACAACACGTGTCAATAAAGTCACAACTTCCACTCCCATGCGTTGTTTTTTCACACAGCCCGACAATGATGGAATGTTGATTTTAATAGTGCGTGTTAATATTGGTTAAACACAAAAATATTGACTCAATAGTCAACATACAAAAATAATAAACTCATTGTTATGTACACTAGTAGATGTTTTTAATGGACAAAAAAAATTTAAAATCTGAGTTAATGTCAAACATATACAGTATATATATATATATATATATATATATATGTGTGTGTGTGTGTGTGTGTGTGTGTGTGTGTGTGTGTGTGTGTGTGTGTGTTGTTGATATATTTGATCTAGAAAGCATTTACATTACAACTTGGAGTACTGTAACATTTGTATTGTAAATTTGTTCACGACATCCAAAAATCCAATGTTAATGGTAGTCAAACACAAAAATAATAAAGTCAGTATTGATTTCTGGCAAATGGATGGAAGTGCCGGTAAATGTATTTGATAACATTAAAATAGAACATTCATCAAGATTTCAGTTTTGTCGTTAAAAGTTTGCGGTATTGATTTTTCAAAACGCAATCTTTAATATTACATCACAAGCTTTATCTTGGACAGAATAAAAAAAATACTCCTGTTTTGTACGATATTATTACAGTATGTTGCATGTAAAAATAAAGATAATCAAATGTTTAAAAAAATGATTGTAAGCGTCATAATTAAGTTATTGTTTTTTATTTCTTTTAATTCAGAGACTTCGAGTTCTTAAAATATAGAATAACGTTTATTTATTTATAATTGATCTAACAGGGAAACGAAGGATTCGTACGCCACCGCAACCCTTGAGCTGTGAAAGAGGTGTGCCGACCACGATAGCCCACCGTGGCACCAGACATTTCAGCCCCATTCCCTCTTGGAAATCCGGGAATTTCTCCCACGACCAAAGTGAAATGACGTGTCACTGCTCTAAGGAGGTGAGTCAGCACAGGTGAATCATCTTTAAATTTGGGATGAAATCACACAACCGATACCAAAATAGACCGCACGAAATCATTGATCTAAATTTGGCCCAGATCCGCCATTATACCAGTTAGCCGTCAAGTAAAATCGTTAAAATGTTCAAATGCGCCAAATCCGTACGCAATAGTTCCTGTGCGTTTGGAAATACAGTATCCTATCACAGAATGTGGCCTTATCAAATGTAACAGCTTCTATGTTCTTTTTACCATAGACATATGTTGTTAGTGCTGATTGTTTTGTTGTTTTAACGGGTTCATTTGTTTTTCAAGGTGTATTTAAAAAAGAGTGACGTTTCGTGAAGGGAACTGCTGCCAACAGGTGAGCGAGGTGCGGCCACGCCCACAGAAACCTCCACTTTCCGGAAGACTTTTTCTCCTTCCTTTCTGCTCTTTCGCTTCATTTCTCTGCGTCTTAAGACACGATCGGTCGATCATTGATCCGGTGACACCTTGGGATATTTAATAAAACAACCTTTTAAAGGCTTTTAATGGATAAATACAACTTTTAAAACCTTTTTAAAGCGTTTTGAGTTGAATTTGTTGAACACTCCAGGAAACCTCGCCGTGTGGAAAACTATTCCATAAAGACAACAAGGAGGAAGAGGAGAACGAGCAACAATCGCGGCAAAGACGGCTCAGGTGTTTTCTTTTCTCGCTCTTCTTTGAACCGCGCTACTAGATGGACTACATGGACAGTGGCCTGAAGTACACCCCGGCCCAGGTAAGTCGTACAGTACAATACTGGTTTGGTTCCTCGTGTTCAATTATTAGAAAGCTGACATTGAACTCACCTTGTTGACGACATCACGAAACATCAGGAGAACCTAATAAATGTGCGTGTGTGTGTGTGTGTGTGTGTGTGTGTGTGTGTGTGTGTGTGTGTGTGTGTGTGTGTGTGTGTGTTTGTAAAAAATACTGACCTCATACATACAGTGTATGTCCATGCCCACACACTCAGTTGGTCCACGTTCAACTTTGACCCCGGGCCAATAATATCCTCATAATAATTGCCTGTATGAAATTTGAAATTGTAGATCTTTACACAAGGTATTGATAGCCTGGCCGACATAAATAAATGGATGATTGATATTTTGTGAAATGGCTTTTTTTTTCTACCTTTGGTACTCAAAGCGCTTCACACCGTTTCCTCATTTTAGCTACTGATGACACAGCGTCACAAGGACCTGGGGATTCAGTATCTTGCTCAAGGATACTTGGGCAAGGCCGCAATGGCCTGGCATCGAACCCCTAATCTCTGAGTTGGGGACGACTACCCTACCACTGAACCATGCCACCCCTTGTCATGGAAACACAGTTCTTGAAGCAGTTTCAAGCTCCCACTTGAGCGTTCCCACAACTGTCCCATTGAAATTGAATTACAATTTCCAGATTCCCACCATTTCCAGTTTGTTGGCAAAAATATGTGTCAATGTTCAAAAACCCACTATTCATGTCAATAATATGCAAAAAATATGGTCTTTCACGTAATTTTGCAATGTAATTGTAGGTAGTAATTGCTAATTATTTTATGTAGGGCCAGCCTTCCCTACAGGAGGCAGTCATGTTTCACCGCGGTCTTTCTGCTACGGATACTCGAAGGAGAAAAACTTAAAGAACGTACTGTCGTTCCCCAACATCATGACTACAGCATGTGTACCTTCGTCACTTGAGGGAATACTAGAAGTCGCTTGGGATGACATTTTGCTTGCACCTGAGGAAATTGGTGGTTGGTTTGCAAGGTATCGTCTCTCTGGGTCACCGTAGTGCGTGTGCTTCAAACTGCACACGCTTCCACAGGTTTGTGTATTTTAGGATCACTTAAGGGAAATTCATCCATTTTTTTTTTTTTTTTGCCGCCAATTTTATCACGTGTCACGTTTGTGTACAGTAAACCTTAAATGTGTGTGACGCATTTTCATGACACACTGTAAAGCACACTGAGCATCCTTTTTAAATTCTTAATTTAATTTCCCAGTTGCTTTTCTCGTCAGTGTTTTTAACACTACAACACAACCAAAATGCACATTTTTATACAGTCAAAACGATATAAAAATTTGATGAATATAAATACAGTATAGGGTGAATTTCCATTCAAATGCTTCCAAATTTGTCTTGCATCATGACCCGCCCTACTGAAAAATACGCACTTACAAGGACATTTTTACTTGTAATAAATCAGTGTCGATGTTTTCAAAGCCCCCCAGCCAGACAGAGTCCCGACTCGAATCAGTCTACCATGGTGGTTGTTCAGATCCAAGATTGAATTCCTCCCAATCATCCGCCCTGTCAGGACTTGTTCCAGGAGTCCCTTTTGCTGTCTGTTAGAACCGGGATGCAGTTGCGCCAATGCCAAAATGCACTGAAAACAAAACCGAAATGACAAATTAGACATAGTTGCCATGAGGTGTTTATGTCCTAGTACAAGAGTTTTGCAAAAGTCACACTTTCGTTTCAAATTCTTAATTTCTGTGACATTTTAACCCTAACTGTGACCTCATTCCTACAAAACTTTACGTACAGTACAGTTAAGCAAGTGATACTGCTTGACTTGCAAGTTGTTCAAAAATTCCCATATGAAGTAATGTCAGTTCTCTCAGGTAAAGTTATGTCCTTTTTGAAATTGTATTCCGTTAATCTAATACCATGATCGCTTTTTTTTCCCCCCCAGAAGATGAGCAAAAATCACAACAAATTCAATCGACAAGAGTTATTCAGTCTTCGAGGGTAGTCATGACTTGGCTAACTGACCATATCTGCACACATTTTTTTAGCAAGCACTTTTATGGGGGGGTTGACAATAAGCTAAAAATAACTTAGCAATTATGCTTTTCGGCAAACAATTGACTGTACTATATTCTACTGTGTGTCTATTTAGCAGAATAGACAAGGAGCAGTTTGTTGGCAATATTTACTCTTTTCTGAAAGTAATTTGTGACAAGTAATCATTGCTGTTGCTTGTCATTGTACCGAGTGGCCAAGTGCTTTGCTATGTTGGCGTTAGCTGCATTTCCTCTTGTATTCACCGGTGACAAGATACGATTTGACTTTATGGTCATTATTGAAGAATTATAGTTGTTCAAAAGAATAGTATAGGAGGTTATTATTGTTATCATTCCCGTTTAATAAAAAAATCCTTATCATTTAAAGATAATATGAATATACAGCGCCTTTCAAGAGACGCAATCATCCAAGTTGCGTCTCAATAAATTACAACATGGTAGAAAGGTCCATTTATTTTAGTACGTCTATTCAAAATGTGAAAGTAATAGATTATACACGATAGATTCATCAAACAGAAAGGAAAATACTTGAAGGTCAATTTCCACCACAAAATATTACAATATTTTGTTTTTTCGCAAGTGAATTTCTGTTTTTTTTGTTTGCTGTAAACTCTCATCATGAAAATTATTGGGAATTGGGGATTGGGAAATAAAATTGTGATTTATTTTGCTCAGTTTTCAGTCTTTTTACATAATATAAACGAGTTTCACGTTTTCAACTGAACTACTGAAATAAACCTTTTAGCAATATCCCAAATTATTGAGATCCTACTGTAGTTGGGCTGAACTGAAAAGAGTACAACGGTGCCTTGAGATTTGAGCAGGCGTTTGGCCAAATATTCATCTCTTTATTTATTCATTTATGTATTTATTGTTTTGACTTTACGCAATTTTAAACGATACGGTTGCTATACGGTGGCAGTCAATCCAAAATGAACTGACCACACAAAAAGCAGCAGTTTGCCAAATAATGATAAATTCTTCACAAAAGAAAGGGTAAAACAACATGTCGAAAGATAACTATAACAATACCCAGGAATGTATTCTTTATCCTCTTTTTTTAAAAAAATAGTTATTTTTATGTGTCTTTTCAAGTCACGAACATCTGCAGTAGAAGGAGTGGATAGTATTTGTGCGACATAATGATGTGTTATGACACGTCGTCTTCTTGTAAGTCCATTTTTGGTTTTGCATCCGCCTCAATCAAAAGTCACCCCCGCCGGGAATGAATGCGTGGCCTGGCTCCTAACCGAGATTTGTGGCATCTGTTTAATCACTCAGATGGAGGCGTACAGTGTAAAATAAGTGTGATTGTCACAGTTTTGGGTTGAACGGAAAGATAATAAGCAGGTCGACACTTGGATTGAGTTGTAAATAACGGTTCTTTATATTGTTTGGTAGTACTTTGACGTTGCAGGTCATTCAAGCACAGTTTGTGTTTGGAGCCCGTCTGGTCACACAATTGTGTCACGTTATCGTGTTGTCGTGCTCCTCAGCCGCGCGGGTGGCTCGTTCCCAGCAGGTTTGACAGGATTTTACTAGGTGAAACCTTCCTCCTCCTGCCCCCGCTCCTCCTCTTCCTCCTTGCTCTGTGTCACCCTCGAGAAGCAACCGCAGTGAGTCGTGACTCACGCTCAGAAGTTCCCTTTTGATTTTATGACCACGCATTGAAACTGTTTGCTATTGGTGTGAGTGGCACGAGCAAAGCGTCGTCGTTTCCGACTGATGTGGCATGTTTTGTCTCTTTGGAGTTTGTTGGTCACCACAGACAAAACCATTCCTTGTATACGCAAGCAGGAACTTGCTGCCCCCTATTTTCAGATGATTACTTCACGTGGCTTGAAAGTTGCTTTTAAGTGGAAAAACTCCAAAAAGCAGATTTTTATTGCTCGATATTTACAACAAGCAAATTTGTAACTGGGATGTTACGCATTAAACCAGTCTTAGGTCTCCAACACTAGCTAAGTGCTTGTGCGTGTCTTCCAGGACAAAGAATGGGACACGACTGTTCAATTCCTGCCGGCATCAGACAACAAGAAGCTGGAGAAGAAGAAAGGTCCGGGGAAGTTGGGAGCTGTGATCGGAGTGGTGATCTTATGCGCCGTCATAGCGCTAATGGCCGGCCTGCTGGTCTGGCACTTCCACTGTAAGCGTGCCCCACATCATTATATTCCAAGTTCACCCGGTTCCACTCAGTTGCATTTTGTCAGGTTTTAGCTTAGTTATATTGAATTGCTCATGAATATTTATGTCGTGTTTGTTCCCCTATGCATGTTGATTGCTGGCTTTGTTAGGACAGCACAGCATAGGGAGTCCTCGGTTATCTACTAAGTTCTGTTCGTACAGCAATGATGCAGCCGCAATTCATCATAGTCACACGGGCGAAGATGCACCACTGAAACCATTATATTTAAGATTGCAAAGCATATTTTTGTCTTGCATGCCATTCAAATTAGATAGGCCGACTCACTCACAAAGCTGTTAAGGACTTCTGAGGTTGGTTTGGTAGTGGCTGTCGAAATCTTTCATGGCTGACACCATCGGTGCGCTAACTAGGAAGATTGGTTTGCATTTAAATTCGGCGAACGTGTAATTTGCTTTGTATTTTACCCGAAAGAGATCATTTTCATGACCTAACGCTGGCCTTCTCTGATGAAGAAGTACAGTTGAAATGGGCGAGGCTGAAACAATATCCCGGTACGTTGTAGTCGGTGCCTGGCGATTTGAAAGTCCTCTGTAAGTTGTAAACAAAAATGCAAAACAATTAGTGGACAAGCGTTATACGTTGATGCAGAGTAGTAAAGTCTAGGAATCGGTTCAACCCCGAACAGTCACTGGCCGAGGTTAACATCATCATTAAGTCATAGTACCAGTAAATATTTGTATGAAAAACACCTTAAAGGCCGAATAGTGGAGGACAGGTTTCCAAAGCAAATCCTCAACTGGGCGAATTTGCAAATGCCAAAAGCTGCAAATATTCATTAAATGAAGAGGGTTCACTGTATACGTTTCGCTAATATGCAAAAACTGACAGAACTGAGCCAAAGATAACAAATGTAATATCTGTGTGGGCAAGAATCATTTATTTTCACAGTCTTGGAACTCCTGTCGATGCTCTGCTGTGTTTTGGAAACGTTAAAAGCAAAAAGAATAAACAGAAATAAAAATACACATCACAAAGAAAGTTCCACGCTTTCTATTCCCTTCGCCCCTGGGTGTCTCCCGCTGAGCTGCTTTTGATGCAGTGGCAGAAAGTTGCGCTCTTCTTCGTCTTCGTGTATTCTTGATTGATGTTTTTTTTTCCTTTTTTTAATTTTTTTTCGTGAAGGAGGCATCAGCCTTAACAAAGAGCAATCCTGAGGGCTTTCAAAACGTATCAGAAAGAAGAAGAAAAAAAAGTGACACTAAAACATCAAAGGCTGTATTTTTATCCGATATGATGAAAATGTTGTCATTTTTGCCGTTTGCAGAGGCAACATTGTACTTCGTTCCCCCCCAGAAATGTTTATGTCCTCGAAACCTAACCTCTGCCCGTTTGTCCTCGCAGTCCGTAAAGACGTGCGCGTCAAGAAGATGTACAGCGGCTCCATGCGCATCACCAACCAGGTTTTTGAGGACGCCTACGAGAACGCCAACAGCTCCGAGTTCCAGGCGCTGGCCAAGCAGGTCAAGACGCAGGTACGACCATGATGATGACGTGGCTACGTTTGTCTCCGCCTCCCTCACGCTCATCTTGTGTCCTTTGCAGCTCAGATCGCTCTACAGCAAGAGCCCGCAGCTGGCCAAATACTACGTTGGATCAACGGTTCAGGCTTTCAGGTATGAAGTCTCACAATGAAATAACTCGCGTCACAGGTAGAAGCAAGAGCGGCTCGACCTGTAGACGAGTACAAGACAGGCCATGGAGCCCCACCACCTCCACCACCCTTAAAAATAAATAATGTGATCATGGATAACCAAATACAGTGGTCCCTCTATTTACGAAATTAATTGGTTCTAGAAGAAATTTCTTGAATAGAAAATTTTGGAAGTAGAGACGCGTTTTCCATGTAAATGCCCTAATTCGTTCCAAATGTTTCCTGAAGCATTCAAAAGCATCAAAATATGTAACAAATACATGTTAACATTAGATTATTGCGCAATAAATCAGAGTTGTGCATAATGTAAAAAACAAAGAATAAAGAATAAAAATGACGGTCATTTAACTTTTAACTGCGTCCTCCTCGTTTTTTGCCCTCTTTAGTTCATGTTCTCTCTCAGAAGTGGTTTTTGCCTAGCGTTTTGTAAAGAACAGATTCAAGGACGTTTTCTTTAGTCGGCTTTTCACAATCCTTCAAAAATGTCCAAGGCAAACATCAGGATAGTGAGTGGTCGCCCGACTGGTAAACACTTTTTCTGGGCGATTCACATTTACGTAAAACTATCGGAACGCCTCATGGCCTGAGTGACGAGGATGCTGCATCGACACATATCTATTTATCTATCTATCTACACACATAGACACATTCTGTAGAAGTCCCACTTACCCAATGGGATGCCAGGAAGATGCTCGGTAATAGCCAATGGCAAAGCAGCTATAGGGATGTCACGTTCAGGAAACTCGGCACTGCGAGTAGCAGCCCATACTGTATTTTTACCTTTTGTAGCTTGAATTTTCTTTCGTAACAAGAGGCAATATTTTCCTGTTGAGACATTTCGTAAATTGAACATTTCGTATGAAGAGACGTTCGTAAGTAGAGGTACCACTGAAATTGTATTTGAAAATTGACATACAACATGAATGACACCCCACTACCAAATATGTCTGCTCATAAGAGGCCTCATTAGGGAGTTTCCAGATTACCACCACCTCATTGCGGCGTCCCGGTGCTGTATGTGAACCACAGAATTTTGTTTTACATCAGTGAATTTAATCAAAATGCACCAGATATGACAGCTTTGACACTAGAAACAATTCTGTGTCGAGTCAGCTGTATGTACATTTATGTGTTTATTTTGAAGCAGACATGCGGCACTGAGACCCTCCGCATCCATGGTGTCGACAGCAAGCACACTTCAAACTTTCCCTTGTGTTAACAGTCACATTTTATTCACATATTTCTCCTCTTTTCTGGCAGCGAGGGCAGCGTCATTGCTTACTACATCTCCGAGTTCAGTGTGCCGAGCGGCCAGGAGGCAGCGGTGGACAGCGCCATGTCCGCCATGGACAAACTGGTGGACAAAGAGCAGCGCAGCGTCTCCAGGCAGGGCAATGCTCTGCTCCTGGAAGACGTTGTGTCCTCGGGTAGGATGAGTCACCACCCCCCCCCCAACCCCACCCAAAAAAAAAATGCTCGCCATTCCATGGTGTCAACCAGTGGCTTGACGGTCAGTCTTTGTTTTACAGAACTTGATTCTCGATTGTTTTCTACGGAATTCAGCAGTAAGTGATCTTCCTGTTTGTTTAGGATTCATTCATTTAATATATTGCATGTTACTAAATATATCTGGGTATTTCGGTTTAAATTTGTTAAAAGCAACATTTAATGGCATTAATTGCACCTTTGCATAAAGAAAGAAAAAATGTGGATGATATATAAATAATTGCACACAAACAAATAGATCCAGAAATGTCACACATTTTATTGTGTTTTGATGTTATCATGCTATAATGGTTTCAAAATCATCGCAAGGTAACATGGACTACTGTAATGTCTGGCGTCGCAGGATTCTTGAGGTTTTCCGAGCACACGAGGACAAACCACATCGGCCAGATCAGGTCCCCCGGCTTCCCCGACAGCTCGTACCCCCCCAACAGCTTCATCCAGTGGCAGGTGCGGGCCGACCCCAACTACATCATCAAGCTGGACTTCGACACGATGAACCTGGAGGAGAACTGCAGCAACGACTTTGTCAAGATCTACGACTCCCTGGTCGCCATCGAGGCCAACGTCCTGCAGGAGTGAGTCAGACTTGCAGAGCTTGAAAAGGACAATGTGGTGTGTGGGGTGGCCCCCTGCTGGCCTTGGGACACCTGCAAAATAGACTTCAAGTTCAGCGTTTCCCACCTTTTAATGAGCCAAGTGACATCTAGTATTTTAGAATATTAAAAACCTCAAAATGTACCACCAAACAGGAATCACAAGAAGCGGATTGTGTACTGTCTGCCATCTTGTGGAAAAGCCCGACATTGTTTGTCTTTTACCGTATGTTACTAGCATATACAGTTAAACAAATAAACATTATTTGTAGAATATAATTTTGGACGATTCAAGTGGAGGTTTTTTTTTTGTTTTGTTTTGTTTTAATGAAAGGAACATTCCATTCTCTTTTTAGGATGTGCGGCTACTATTCACCCAGCGAGCCCTTGACCTTCTTGTCCTCTGGCAATGTGATGCTGGTCACCATGGCAACCAACGAAGAGAAGAACTACCCGGGCTTCCGAGCGCAAGTGTCGCAGGTGCGACGCGGCAGCACCAGTAGGAAGCCACACAAAGACACAAACACCATTTTGCGAAGATTCATGGAGGTGAAATTTTGCGGTTCTTTTTTTCATTTTATTTTTTTCCCCCCAAACAGGGACCACGTGCGGCAGCCAGCTGACAGGTGAAGTAGGCCGTTTTACTTCTCCCAACTTCCCAAATTACTACCCACCTCGGACTTCCTGCAAGTGGACCATCGAGGTGAGGAGTGAAGACAGCCGCTGTGCTGCCCCTTGCCTACTTATGCAATTTAAATTTGTTACATTTTATCACTTCACTCAAATGAGCACACCTCCAAAGCTAAGCAATAATGCAGTGGTCCATTTCAAACCATTCCAGGCTCCTGGTCGGCGTCTGATTCCCATCGGAATTCATGGAAAAAGAATGAATGCATTTCATTCTTTCATGATGTTGCCATCATAAAACCCAAAAGAGTACATACAGTACAGCTAATGTTTTCTGGCACTGATTGTAAAAATGTGATAGTTTGCGCTAGTAGTATGCTGGCGCCCTCTGGTGGTATTTCAGTTAAATACATGTACATTTCCATTTAATCGTTCTGAGCTGCCCTTCATTCGCAGTTTATTTTGGTAAAAATAAATAAACTTTTATATACAATTGATTTATTTACATCATTTAATGGGGTTTTCTCAAATTCTGAAGTGAATGAAATGAAACCATGAAAATGGCAGAGGTCATATAAACAATGACTGTTCAGAAGTTGACTTCCAGCTAAAAGCTTAAAGCCCTTGCAGTTAACATAGAATATTTTTAAAGGGTATTGTTAGATCTGTATTTTGAACCCTGCTATTACGCTATATAGCGATTTTAAAAGTATCACGTGTGAACTTGAAGCAACCAACCTCTGTCCATCTCATAGGTCCCTGCTGGAAAGGCGGTAAAGGTGACGTTCAAAAAATTCCTCATGTCTGAACCGGGCCAGGACGGAAGCAAGGGCTGCCGCAAGGACTATGTGGAGATCAACGGCAAGAAGTGAGTCCTGGTGAACAAGAACAAAAAAGAACTTCGTTCGATCCCATCTGATGCCTGTTGTGTTGTTTTTAGATTTTGTGGTGATCAGCCCGACGGCTCGCTCACAGAGACCAGCCGCACCAACAAAATGACCGTTCAGTTTTTCTCCGACGGATCCTACGTAGACATCGGATTCAACGCCACATATGAGGCAGTCGACATCACCGACCGTAAGCAGCAATAGCTCTAGTTCTGGCTAAGGTTATTAGCGTTAATAAGAAAAATGAAACTATTAAATGGGCTTTTACTTGTGGAGCACTTTTCTACTGTTGGCACTCAAAGCACTTTAACGCTTTAGCAAACCCACAACCTTCGAGTTGGGAGACGGCCACTCCTTATGCATACTGCCCTCCCAAAATTCAATAAAAACTATAATATATAATAGTAATTGGAAAAACATTTTTGTCGAAGACATATAATAAAATTGAGACTGCTTTTAAAAAAGACTAGTAACTGAAAGTTCTTTTTCCGTTGATAAATCTTGAATCAAAAATGTCCTTTGTTTTCTTCTTTGTCAATTAATTCCTTAGATGAGGTTTTAGGGTTGATCTTGAATATATTAATGAACATTGGTGTATGGCCACACAGAAGTATGAATGTCAGTTGTTTGGTCATTCTAGTATGCTTTATGGCACAATACTGTGACCTTGTTTATATCTTGGACTCCACAAGTCTTAACTCTATCTCTCTCAATCTCCATAGATACTGTGGATAGACATAAACTAAATGAAAATGAAACATTTTCAAAATAATAGACTATTAAACCCGCACTGAAACTGAATTAAAAACCCAAAGACAAAATGAAATAAACAACCTTGAAAAAAAATAATGACACATCTCCATATTGACGGAAAAAAAATTGCAATGAGATTTTTCTAAATGTCTCAGTTCGAGGTTTGACTAATCAAGATTCTACTTTGTATGGCTTGCTGAATCCAAGTAAGCTTGAAATTTAGTGGAGACTCCACTTGACTCACTCAATTTTTGCCACAGAAACATGACACTTGCTTGAAACTTGAGTGTACAACTGGAGACATACTTCTGAATTGCGCATATGTTACTCTCTTCTAATCTCGGTCCACTTCTGACAAATTGTGATTATTTCCTGACTGTGTGATGTGCAGCTTGCCCCAAGCAGTTCCAGTGCAAGAGCCAGCGCTGCATCAAGTCAGACCTCAAGTGCGACGGCTGGAACGACTGCGGCGACATGAGCGACGAGTTGAACTGCAGTACGTCATTTCCCGCTAGCGTGACTGTTTCCGATGTCATTCCCATTATTATTCTGATCGCTTGTTTCCTCCTCCAGAGTGCAACTCAACTCACATCCACTGTAAAAATGGGCTTTGCAAGCCCATGTTTTGGAAGTGTGACGGCGTAGATGACTGTGGCGACGGCACCGACGAGAAGAACTGTGGTACGACGGCTTAATTTCTGACGCATCAGTATTAACGCGTTTTAGTAAAATCCCCCAAACCAATTCTTCCTTTAATTGGGTGGTTTGGAATCCAAAATCATTTTAAATAAATTACCGTATGTTGTATTTTTTTAAAAAACTGTACATAGCTACAAATTGGGGGCCTACGTGCTGATGAAGCAAATTTAATAAACCAAATAATCCTCAGTACTTTAGTCATGGGCTAATAAAAAGGCTCTAATACATTTAGGATTTAGCGAATAAATTTGACAACCCTTACATAGCACTAAGAAGCCGTGGTTGAAAGGTCGAAGGAAAGCTACATGATGGACAGGGACAGCGTGATCAAATTTTATTTTAGGCTCGGGATGAGTTACAAGGACACCATGAAAAGCTTGGCATCGCAAGGAATTATTCTCACCGAAACACGTTTGAATAGGCTATTGAGAGTCAGCTCGCTTTCCCTGGCGGAGGTACAACTTGAAACGCGGGGATCGATTTTCTTCAACAACTGCATTGCTGTGGGAGGGCGGATCATGGTTACCAATGGATGTATACGAAATGAAAACTTTTTGTCATAATATCACTACTTCATGTTGGTATAAAATAAAAAAAGTCAGATGCAATAATTTGTGGGTTTTTGAAGGCACTGATTAGGTCAGTGAAGGTGCGCTCGATTTGTTTACCCTCTTGTCCAATAAGGGATCGGCGCTACTTCATGTGCATGCTGTAGCTATTTAATGCGCACAAAGTAGTAAGTAGTGTAGACAAATTAGGAAATACATCAAATGCATAGCATTTCAAGAGTAAGGTTATTGTACTTTTATACATCATTATCCTAATGACAGTATTGCCCAAGTCATTTTCCAATATTTTGTCAAACCAAGAAAAAGCACAACAAATTCAACAAACAAGAAGAGTCCAGTGGCCTCGATTCAACCTTTGCAGATTTCGAGCACCTGGATGACTGAGAATCTACAAAGATATACAAAACAAAATAATACACAAGGCAACTGTTTGCAGGCAAATCCATAATATTACTGTGACTACATCAGTAAATTAAAAATGATTTCAGCAAATAATCTATTGTCTTAACAAAGTGGTAATTATTTTTAATCGCTATTATGATTATGAGAGGATCCTTGAAAAAAAATGTCTCTCTTTTTTTTTTTTTTTAAGTGGTCCCTGAACTCCAGAAGTGTGAAAACGCCTTCTCTAAACTGTGCACTTTCTGTCCCGACAGGAACTTGTTCTACTGGACAGCTCACCTGCAAAAACGGCAAATGCGTCTCGGAGAAGAGTCGCTGCGACGGGAGAGACGACTGCGGCGATGGTTCCGATGAGCTCGACTGCGGACGAGGTGAACTTCTCAACCCAATTTAGAAGTCAAATCACTATTTTTGCAACAGACAGTCGTCTTTGGCAATGCCCTGCGCATTTACCTTCAACCACCAAAACAATGTGAAAATGATTCCACTCATGTTTTTGCACATTGCGACGAGTTAAAGAATGCTCAACTTGAGAGCGACGCCGCGGTGACATCGCAAGATGCATCCAGTAGGAGAAGGGGGGTGGCGAGATGATTTCAGAGTGCTATCAGCAGTAGATGAACTAGTGGGGAAAAACCTCCCTGTTACTTCCTGGTTGGTTGTGATGCAAGCACTATCAAATATGGGCAAGCTTGCACCGGGGCACTTTTGTCCTTAAGGACTGCCCTGAGCCAACACAAAGAAAACCAAGCGTGGTGTGAAAAGGTCTCAAGTGCACACAAGATGACCATTGCTATGAATGGGCTTTGTTTTAATAAGACAGCACGAGCTAGCGTTTTGTTTGAAAACAAAGGTAACCTGGTTTTTTTTTTTCTTCATCTTCTGATTATGAGCACTATGCAAGTTAAGGGTTGTTATGGTTGTTGTTGTTGCTATTGAGCAACCTCCAACTGGGCCCCAAAGCGACTCCTAAAGCCGCAGCGACCCGGGCACCTGCAGACCCAGTTGTCGGCTGTTGACTGGGAACCATTCGTAGCCCGAAGGCACGCCCAACACCGCTTGGAGGTTGTTACCAAGTTGGGCTGTTGTTGTTGTTGGGTCTTGTGTATCTAGTTGACAGAGACATTCATACTTATGTTGTGCTTGAGTGTATTTCTTTTTTTCATTTTTAGTTATGTCCAGGAGATGAATTTGACTCTTTCTAGAGTCTTCCCCCGCCGCCATTTGTCACATCTTAACTCTTCCATCACTGTTTTAACTGCAATGTTTGTCTCTTTGGTGGGTGTGTGGGTGTGTTTTGTGTAGGTTCTGGTTCTGTGGTCTGCACTGACCTCACATTCAAATGCAAGAACAACAAATGCATCAGCAAAGTCAACCCCGAATGTGACGACATCAAAGACTGCGAGGACGGTTCGGACGAGGACAACTGTGGTATGTACCTTATGTGTCTGCGTGCATGTTTTGTGTACGTTTCGTGTGTGTGTGTGTGTGTGTGTGTGTGTGTGCGCGTGTGTGCGTGCGTAATAGTGCATATTTATTTTGTGCGCAGGCGCTGTTTGTATGTGTGTGTTTGTTTGGCCGTGTTCTTGATTGTATTCTTGGGGGGGGGTTTGTTGTTGTGGTTTTTTTTGTCCCCCCCCCTTTGCATATATGCTCGTTTGATGAGTCTGCTTTGGTTTGGCAGATTGCGGACGCAGTAAGTTCAAGACGTCGCGTATTGTCGGCGGTCAGGACGCGGTGGCAGGCGAGTACCCCTGGCAAGTCAGCCTGCACGTCAAGCGTTATGGACACGTGTGCGGCGCCAGCCTCATTAGCCCCCGCTGGCTTGTCACCGCCGCCCACTGCGTGCAGGACGACAGAAGTACGAGGTAGAGTTCACCTTCGCTAACTTTGTTCGACATCAGGGTGGGCAAACTTTTGTGCTCAGTGACCAAATGGGATTTTTAAAGCGGATAAATGAATTTTTAGGAAACACAAAACCTAAACAGAAAGCAACTAATTTTATGCGACTCTTGCTAATGGACAGTGACTGCCTGGCAGGCCAAATTTTATGAAGGAGCTGCCCACATTTTGCCCACTCCTTCTGTACGCCATCTCCTCACAATGAAAGGAAATGTTCATCAAAACAGGTTTTCTCAACCGGGCACTTGGGAGGCGTACATGGGCCTCCACTCGCAGCGCAACATCAGCAGCTCGGTGATGAAGAGAAACTTGAAGAGGGTCATTCCGCACCCTAACTATAACGACTACACCTTTGACAACGACATCGCTCTGATGGAGCTGGACACTCCCGTGACCTACAGCGACTACATTCAGCCCATCTGCCTGCCTGCCGCACAGCACGACTTCCCCGTTGGCAACGTCGTCTGGATCACCGGCTGGGGAGCCACTCGGGAGGGAGGTGAGATTCCCCGAAAACCGCCAACATCAACTATTTTCTCTTCAGTGAGGATTAAGACTGTGTGTGTGTGTGTGTGTGTGTGTGGGGGGGGGGGGGTTGACTTTTTCATTATCTTTTTTTGTGGCAAGTACTGAACAGATGACACAAATTACATCCTCAACGTATAATAACACGGATCTTACTTATAATGAAGTGGTACCTCAACTTTTAAGTACGACAACTTAAACAAATGCGTCTTCCTGTGTGTATTGTTCAGGATTCGCAGCGACGGTGTTGCAAAAAGCACAGGTACGCTCTATCAACCACACAGTGTGTGACTCTCTGATGGGCGGTCAGCTGACCTCCAGGATGATGTGCGCCGGCATTCTGAGCGGAGGAGTCGACGCTTGCCAGGTAACTTCCTATTTTTTATTTTTTAGGTATGCACACATTTTTAACAACCAAAAGAATCGGCAAAATACAACACTAAATAAACACCAATAGTTGGTTAATAAACAGTCTTTGGGGAAAATGGTTTTGTAATAAAATAAAACTTTAATGCAAAATACATTTTTATGTGATTAGTCGATTGAATAAATGATACAATAATTAATATTCTGTATATAAAATTCTGTTATTCATTGATTATTAAATATATATACTGTAATATATATATATATATATTGGATTCTTTTTTTATTATTCAAAACCAAAACACGAGATAACTTAAACCGGCTGGACGTTTAATAGGTCAGGTCCAAATTTTAACTGTTGATGTCACAATAATGGCTGTATTACGATATTAAAATTGTTATGTATTATCGCCATCCTTCCCACAATATTGTGATAATTAACGTGTATCATGAAGTTCATAATAATTTAGTATTGTGACGTCAATGTTTTGATATTGTTGCATCCCTAATATTAACTATGCGAGTAAAATTTAACTGTTTAGCTTTGTGAGTCCTCTCTCTTAGAGATTCTATATAAATAACTTTTACTGACTACATGCGTTGGTCTGCATCAGGGGGATTCTGGCGGGCCGCTCTCCATTCAGTCAGGCAGCCGCACGTTCCTTGGAGGCGTGGTCAGCTGGGGCGACGGCTGCGCCCGTCGGAACAAGCCGGGCATCTATACGAAGGTCACCAAATTCCGCGGCTGGATCAAAGAGAAGACGGGTGTGTAGAACAAAAAAGGCCGCACGGTGGGCCCGTGGACATGATCATGAAAATGGACTGACACACAGGAACTGCATTGTGGATTGTCAACTTCCACAAGAAGCGCCATCACTCCATGCAATGCTTCAGGAGCAAGTGCAGCACTGTTCTGTGTCCACTATGATTTTATCATATTCATCTTGATAAATTGTAAATATGTTGTATTTCCTGTGTGTTCTGTTGATGTTTTTGCATATTTGGATTGAGCACATGCATACATAAAAACAGGTTTTTAATATGTTGTTGAACATGTGAAATGTTCGGTCCTTTGTGTCACTGCAACTGTCTTTTTTTTTTTTTTTTTGTGGTTGTATTTCCTCACAAATGTCAACAACTGTAACATCAATCCATCCTACCTCCAGACAGTGTATCCCAGAATAACATACTTGCTCTTTGCCTCTATTACTCATATATTTTGTTTGGATTTTGTTGTTTATGGATGTTGACACAAATCCAATGATTTAAATTCATTAGGAGAAAAAAATGGCATAGTAGCATGAAACAAAATAGTCAGACACTGTTAACAGTGTGAAAGCAGCCAAGGAGTGACAAGATTTTTATCCGAAGAAACTTCACAAGGAATATTTGGTCAACAGAGGTCCCTGAATGCATCATGATTGCTTTTGAATACTTTTTTTGTGCTGTATATAATTTTGCCAGCAATATCAACAGTGCATAGAATGTTGTGTATGATTTTTATTTGTTTAGCTCATTGGAGTAGTAATATAAACGCGACCGTTTTAATCCACTGTCTCTGTGAATGTTTATATAACAGTGTTTTAAATAAAATATTTCGAATATATTGGTAAGTCCCATTTGTATTTGTTTCTAGAGATACTGAATTCATTCTCTGACTAATGATTGGAGGAAACGGAAAGAAATTTTCCACATGCACTGATTCTACTACTTGTATTGTTTTTTTTTTTTGTTTTTTTTTACGTGTTTTTTCGACGGAAGTAATTTAAGACAGAACTTTTTTACGACGCTGTTCTCTGTCGGACTAGTCCAGGGGCGGACCGGAAGTTGGTCCGGTCGTCATTTTCTTCCGTCTGAAAACAATTTCGACTTTACCTGCTGTAAGTGTGTGATGTTTTCACGGGTGCTGTAATTTAAATGTTAAAATTGTTCAAATAACCTGGAGGATGCGTTCGCTTCCGTCAGATGTGTTCAATAAGAAGAGGAAATCGTTTTTTGAATGAAGTTTCTCTTCTTTATGTGGTGTTGAAGCAAAGCGACTTTGTTTCATGTCAGTCGGTAAATTGAAATCAGCATAAGAATACAGTATGTTAGTTTGTGTTAGTTGAAGTATTACCGGAAAAAATCTACGACAACAAAATGTACATTCAAGGGATAACGACAAATGTCCAAAATGTAGAGAGCCAGGGGACCTAAGAGAGACCATGATGGATGTAGATGGGAGATCCCACAATTGGACTTGGGACTGGGACAGTCCGCGCTGCCGGGCCCAACTGGACGAGATCTTCTTCCGTCAGAGCGACTACATCCAAGCCGGCAGCCAGGAACACAAAGACTTCTGGGCCTTTTTCGACCGCTTCCAGAGGTTCAAACTAAAGAAGGACATGTGTGGACCCGATCCGAGCCTTGATGAGGACAGAGACCGGTGCCAAACGGGGTCTTTGGACCTCCCTAAGGAATATGACGCCCGGTACCGCATTAACGTTTCTCTGGTGACCAGAGACATCGAGGAGCGTCTCGGACGATCCCACCCCAACCACACCAGGCGCGACTCTTCGGGTCTGAACTCTCATGTGATCTCGGACTTTCGTCTCTCCTTGCTGCACTACCTGGACTTCAGCCAGCGGCAAAGCTTTGCCAAGTTGGCCAAGCTGCAGCGCGAGCAGAAGAACCTGCCCATCTTCCAGTATCGAGAGCGCATCGTGGACCTGGTCAGACGCCACCCTGTGGTCGTGGTGGCAGGAGACACCGGATGTGGCAAGTCCACTCAGGTGCCCCAGTATCTCCTCTCTGCTGGGTTCACACAAATAGCCTGCACGCAGCCCCGGCGTATCGCCTGCATCTCCTTGGCCAAGAGGGTCAGCTTTGAGAGTCTCAACCAGTATGGCTCAAAGGTTTGTTTGTTTGTTTGTTTGTTTGTTTGTTTGTTTGTTTGTTTTAAACACCTTTAACACATTTACCGGAAGTGACGTTTTTGTACCCGAGCATGCTAGACTATAGAGCAGTGGTTCTTAACCTTGTTAGAGGTACCGAACCCAACCAATTCATATGCACGTTCACCGAACCCTTCATTCGTGAAAAATAAAAATGTGATTTTTTTTTTTTTTACAAATTCAAGACATTAAAAAACACTTATGAAAACCAAATAAAAGTAAATAAAATTACATGGCACAAGTATAGGTTTTTAAAATTGTATGACGTACTATCACGGCAGTCACACTGTGACTACTGAGTGAACTAAATTTCCCGCAGCACTGATTGGACAAGCAGCAGTGGATCATCTGCACCCAGTGATGGCCCAGCGGGCATGTCATAACTAATTGACATCTTGAGTCAAGTGTGTCTTAACCTCCATGGCAGAAGCTCCGTCGAACTTCTTACACTACGGGTATTTATTGATTTTTTTCCCCAATGGTTCAATTCGTACTCACCATTCTTAGGTGGTGTAGGTGCATCAAAATAAATAGACGATACTCAAATCCTGCCAGCAGTGTGAAGACTGCACACTCTACCTTTAAGACTTGAAACTTACTGCACGGTACCTACAACTGGCACATCTGTGACTTACTCCCATCTCTGATGGGTGGACAAGAAAGGGCCTCCCAACACGCAGCCGTGTTTCCACAGGTGGGCTATCAGATCCGCTTCGAGACCACGCGCACCACCGCCACCAAGCTCATCTTCCTGACCGAGGGTCTCCTGCTGAGGCAGATCCAGCAGGACAAAACACTGGAGCAGTACCAAGTGCTGATCGTGGACGAGGTTCACGAGCGCCACCTGCACGGTGACTTCCTGCTTGGCGTGCTGCGCTCGCTGTCGGCTGATCGGCCCGCCGACCTGCGGCTCATCCTCATGTCGGCCACCATTAACATCAAGCTTTTCTCCGATTACTTCGGCGGCGCTCCCGTGCTGCAGGTGCCGGGCAGGCTCTTCCCCATACAGGTAAGCCTACGTGCACAAGTCGAACACTTAAGAAAAGGGCTGAACCATTTTGACAAATAATCTAATTTTTTTTCCCCTCAATATTGCAATTGTGATTGAATGTGGGATTTTTTTTTTTTTCAAGGTCTTCTTCCCATGTATTTAACAAACACAAGTAATAAATCAATCCATGTGATAATAAAAATATCAGGTTTATTGTACATAAATGCTCTTATATGTTAGGCAAAGGGCAATGAACCATAATATGATTTTTTTTTAAATCTAATTCATCTACTTCAGTTAGAGTCAAATAACTAAACACTTTGACTTGCCGTCATTTAAGAATTCAGTATGACAACTTCACAAAATTACTCCAAGCATATCAGGCATAAACATGAAAAAAAGTCATAAATTAGATTGCCTCAATAATCCAAACAAATCTGCGGCTTTATCACTTCAATTTATGTGTCATGAAACCAGTATATGTAAACCTGTGGACTGTACATTTTCTAAATAAATTAGGGCAGCAAGTAACATTTTTTTAAAAATAATCAATCTGTCATTTCATCTATTAATCGAGGAATCGGATAAAAAGAACATGATTTAATTTTCATTCTTTGTTAAAAAAAACAGGACATCATTTGAAATTGACAGTGTCAAAAATGCAAAAACAGAAATTGAATATACTGTAGTTCACTTTCGGGTTTGGTCTGTAACATGTCAGAAAAGACGCAAACATTTTGATTCATTGTTTTGTAAAAGCAGACATTTGCAAATGTTTGATTTAAATCCAACACAAAGATAATCAGTCCGCTTTTGAGGAGGACTGCAGAGTCTGGAGAATACTAGAGGTCTAATAAGTAATCAATTATCGAAATAATTATCACTTCATTTTTGTAATCAATGAGTTATCGATTAATCAATTAAAAAGTGCACCCCATCCTCCAAATAAAAAGTGAATGAATCCTTCTTTCAGGTGATCTATCAACCCATCCCCCCCGAAGAGCAGGCTTCGACTCGCACGGAGAAGCTGGAGCCGCGGCCATACCTGCGCATTCTGCAGGGCATTGACCAACGCTACCCGCCGGAGGAGCGCGGCGACCTGCTGGTCTTCCTGAGTGGCGTGGCTGAGATCGGCGCCATCCAAGAGGCGTGTCAGGTTTACGCCACGCACACGCGCCGCTGGATCGTGTTGCCGCTGCACAGCACGCTCTCGCTGGCCCAGCAGGACAAGGTACCAACACCATTTTGAACCCACATAATGGACTTATTATCCGTACCTGACCAGTATGGATTTATACCCCGAACCAACTGAACCAGTTTTTCGAGATACAATCCATTGCTGGCTTTTTTCTTTTTTCCCAGCAAAGCAATCATTAACAATTACCCTTCAGACCCTCCACCACTCGATGTTAGCAGCAAACTTCACAACAACAAGCAGCTGTTTGGCAAATAGTGAGCAGCGCTTGCTTGCTTTACGCTGGCCTTTCTTTTTGACTAAGACCGACTTGTTGTACAACTGTACTGTAAAATGAAACATAAAACAAAGAGAATTACATTCTATATTAGACTGAACCTTGGGCGGCCCGGCGGACGAGTGGTTAGCCCGTCGACCTCACAGTGCAGAAGTCATGGGTTCGATCCCGGCTCTGTCCTTCCTGTGTGGAGTTTGCATGTTGCCTGAGTGGGTTTTCTCCGGGTACTCCGGTTTCCTCCCATATACCAAAAACATGCATGGCAGGCTGATTGAACACTCTAAATTGTCGGTGTCGGTGTGAGTGTGAGCATGGACGGTTGTTCGTCTCTGTGTGCCCTGCGATTGGCTGGCAACCGGTTCAGGGTGTTCCCCGCCTACTGCCCGAAAACAGCTGGGACAAGCTCCAGCACCCCCCGCGACCCTAGTGAGGATAAAGCGGTTCGGAAATGAATGAATGTATGTATGTATTGTATTGCCTCCTGGTGGCCAATGTGCACACAATAGGAGTAGCTCACTGTCCATTGAATTAAAACATTAAATCGTGATGGATTATCTATTTATTTATTTCCATTGCCTTATGCTATTACTTTTTTTCCTCCAGTGCCATAATTTAGAGTTCAATTTTTCATGTATTTGGCCTTGTGTTATTGGTGTAGGTGTTTGACATCGCGCCTCCTGGCGTGAGGAAGTGCATCATCTCCACCAACATTGCAGAGACCTCAGTCACCATAGATGGCGTGCGCTTTGTTGTCGACTCAGGTAGGCGGAAGTGGAAAATGTACTCACATTCGAGTAAAAGCAGACTCTGGTCGTAGAAGTACTTATACTCGCAAGTACTCACACTCTGTACTTATGTAGATCTTTACTTAAAATACTTGTGTAAAAAAATTCTGGAAAGAGTAGCACTGATTCGACTCCTGTACTTTAATAAATGTAAAAAAAAAAAAAAAAAGTCCAGACTCTGAAATGTACTTCATCGCAAAAATGAACTTTACTGTCAAATTACACATGATTCCTGTCATTTTTTGTTCATTATTATTGTTGTTTAATTTAAAAATTGTTAGTTTTTAAAAACCGAAATTATTATTTGTGGGGGGTTTTTGCACAGGCAAGGTGAAGGAGATGAGTTTCGACCCCAAGGCCAAGATGCAGCGTCTTCAGGAGTTCTGGATAAGTCGAGCCAGTTCGGAGCAGAGAAAGGGCCGTGC